TGACAAATGTAAGTTCATACAAGTAAAGTGCAAGGAAAAATAATCAACCTTGCAAAATTAACTCAATTATACAAAAAACTTGCAACAATAAAGTAAGACGGTTAATAATTCAATCATGAGTAATAGTTGAAGCCTAACAAATATAAATTTGAAGTAGCAAGGGCATAACTGGCAATTCTATAAAATACCTATGAATTTACTATAAATAATAAGGATTAACATCTCTAACTAGAAATAATACATTTAATCTCTAATGGAACAACAGTTACTTACCTTGAGATGACAAATATGATACTTCTCCAAATTTGATGGTTTGATTATCAATACTACATCAATTAGAAAATAAGATAAAATAATTATGAAATTAAACTTATTTATTGACAAAAATAGATGCAACCAAATCAACCTTTTATTATTATTATTATTATTATTTTAAAAATAAGAAATTACAAACATTAACCTAGTAAACATAATTAAAATAATATTTTATTTTGTTGTAGTTTTAATATAGAAGAGCATTTTTTTTCCATATAAAATTTTGGGGGATTGACATGCATAACATCTATCTCTAATAATAGCAACCTAAAAACTTCATTAAATCTTGTGAGTCCTTAAATGCCATTTCTCCTCTATTTGAGCTAAATCCCAAGTTAAAAAACTCGTTCGAAGATGGAATTACAAAATTTAGAGAAGTTAATGCGCTCGCGAAGGAGGAAGGCTAAGCAAGACGAGGGTGACCTTAGTGCTTTCGGGTAGGAGCGGAGCGAAAATTTCGGTAGTCTCTGCAAGCCTACAAGCCTGCCATTGCCTTCTTTGCTAGCTCCAAGCATGACTGCACCGCACGAGTTCGATCACAAGATAGATGATTTTGTGCAAAATCAAGGGAGAGAGGAGAGGGGATCGGGAGGCAAGGGAGAGCCAGGGCTTCAACAATGTTGCAATGCTCTGGCCTATTCTTATATAGAACAGAGAGGCAACATAGGGTAGAGAAAGAAAATGAAAGTTGCAACTCTTGTGTATTCACATATCTAACGCCTAAAATTTTATATTCACATTTATAACTCTTATGTGACATAAACCTATACATGAAAATGTGCATTTCACGTTAAAAAAGAAAATAATTATGATATTTTGGATATGATATAAAAATTTTGTCGGTTATATATGTAAATATGAAAGTTTAGATGTTACATAAGTAAATACATAAGAATTGTGTGGATTGTATGTAAATTCTATGATACACATCATATGCATAAGGTATAAACACCACTTAGAACTAGCTTCTGCATCTATCAAAAATGAAGTCTAATAAAAATGATAATTTTCTATTTTCAACACTGAATTTAGAGTACCTCATTAAAATAAAATAAAATAAAATAAAATAAAATACTTCATTATATATTGAATTCCTTCCCTTCATTTTGTTTATGGGGCATTTACATACATACCACACAATTCTTAAGTATTTACGTAAGTCGTACACGAACAAGAATATATAGATCGAGCCAAATTTTACCAGTCATAATTTCAATCATTCGAACGACGGTTATAACTAAAATTTTATCAACTGACTGTTTGATGTCATCAAGAATTTTTTGTCATACGCATGAATCTCAATGCATTTGAGCAAGAAACATTTTAAATTCAAATTTAAGGTCATTTGAGCTCCGATTTCAATAATTTATAATCAAATTGAACATCTCGACAGGATGAGCGAGATGACACTAAAAGTGATTAAGCCTAATTTCATTCAAGCCCAAAGTGTAGCATTTGAAATGCAAGTGAAAACTTTGGAGCGTTAATTAGAGAATTAAATGAACTCTAAATTTTACGCACTTATAGTCATATCATGCGTCTCAATGAGAGAAAGCTAAAGATAAACCCCATTTTTTTCATTTTTGGGAGGGGGTAAAGTGAATTGATTATAAAAACCTTAACTCTTGAAGTTCCAGCAGTTATTGTCAGTCATCTGAGAACGTTGTTGACTACCAGAGATCGTCATCAACCACAAGAGGTTATAGACAACCCCTAGAGTTCATCACAGACTACCCAAGATCATTATTGATCACCTCTAACAGCTTCCATGGCCCAATTATTATTCTCAAGTGTTTGCTACTCGAAGTAATCGCACCTCCACTCAATAAATGAAATTATACAATGGATTAATTTAATTGAGTCGGGTCCTGTAATTTTTTTTTCTTTCTTGAGTTTTCCTAATATTCATACTTTTTATCTCCTCCCACAACTTTTCTTTTATTTTTGTTTGTATTGAATATTCAGGTACTGTTACGCATTGGATTAAAACTGTATATATATTATACATATTTATATCGAAGTTTAAATCATAATAACTAGTGTATCAATATTATTATGTCTTATGCCTTATATAACATATAATTGGTACATATTCGAATCCAACACTTTACATCACTTTTTTTTCTAATTAAATTAAATGAGCTAATTTTAAGTAGAACATAACCCAAACATGAACAAGAATATGTAAATCGAGTCAAACATGAATACACTGTTCACGTGCAATTTTGAATTGAGTTGAACATAAGCCAAACCTAAAGTTGCTCGAGCTCGACTCATTACAGCTCTACTCCTGAGGTTTGGCTACAGTAACGCCAAAGATAAACTGAAATTGGAAAGATTCTTTTCTTCAGGCCTATCAGGAACTGTTTATTAAACATCCCTCCAACTTGTCCTAATTGACATGGGCTAAATTTGCTTTATGGTTGGTAGAGTTTCAACAATATTGCAGAAAAGGAATTGTCAAATTCTATTGGCATGTGTCACAATCTTAAGATACCTCCCTACTCTTTATCTATATATGTATAGACAGGGTTTAGACTGTGGTTAAGGCATTATTCACCTTCTTTGATATCTATATGTAAATATTCACTCTTGCTAGCAGCAGAGATGTTTACTACAGAAGCTATAAATGATATTTGAAAAAAAATCTGTTAAAATCTGGAGGAGTTAACGTACCCAAAGAAATTTGGTGGTTGAACACATCAGAAAGTGAAAATAAGAAGTACTAGAAAGTGCCACATTGATAGACAGCTGCACTTGTTTGAAGAAGTTGTTTTGCAACATCTGTGCAAGAAAGTTGTCGCGGGAAAGTTGTTTGTGTGTTTGTTTAGTTCTATTGTACAACAATTATGTTGCAGTTGTTGATGAAAAGAAGACACTTTTGTCCCTATATTATTGTGTTATTTGTAAAATAACCGCCCTAAACTTAATAACTTAAGAATGAAAACAAAAATGACATTAAGAATTCTTAAAAACTCACAAGTTCAAATATTACATCTAGAAGTGATATCTCACTTAACAGTGAGTAGCACAACAATCAAAAGAAGTGACATCTCACTTAACAGTGAGTAGCACAGCAATCAAAAGAAGTGACATCTCACTTAACAGTGAGTAACTTAGCAATCAAAAGAAAAACAATTACTATTATCAAAATATTAATTTTGAAATCCAGACGATCAATCTTACAGGATAACTTCTTTAGACGTCTGGTCACTATCTAAAAGAGAATCATCAAACTGATTCACCCACATAAATAAGTCACAGTCGTCTATTGATCTATTCTTGGAAACATGTAAGATTTTCTTTTCATGATGCAAGTAAAAAACACTACAATCCAAAGCCGCAGTACAAGACTCTGGCAACATCAGAAGTCATCAAGCTCATATTTACTGAAAGTTGGCGAGACAGTCACTTCCTCACAACTCAACACCAATCCACCACAATAAAATAAACAAAAAAGGTATATTGCACGTTTGAGAGGTTTGGCGAGAATCACTTCCTCACAATTCCAATATCAAACGCCAAAAAATGCGTCACCAAAATGGCACGACAACAAACTCATCCACCAAATGCAAATCAACATACCAACTCAATGAAAACCAACAAAAACAGTATAGCTAACTGAGAACAAAAAGAAGAAATCACTATATTTTATGGCATAAATCTCCACATTAATGACCTCCAAATGTCAAAAATAAAAAAATGAAGTACCACGAAAAATGAAAGAGAACGAAAAATAACTCATAAATCCAGAAGCAGAGCTCACCGGAACCTCGCCACCCCACCCCAAAAAAAAAAAACCAATAGATAAGGCATATAGTTTGTAAATACCTCACGGGAGATCGAGCAAAAGAGAGGATAAGGAACAACGAAACTCAAAGATAACTCGTGTGGTATCGTTCGTACTATCTGAGGTGAGAGTGCAGAGAAGCTAACACTAGGGCAAAATCCAAAATGAGGGTGCGGGACAAAGGAGGGACAAGGAGAGTATTTATAGACGTCCAGAACAAGGAACATAAGGCAAGGACGTGACATAAAAAGAATAGTAAATTACGTCTCGTCTCATCCACCGCAGACGAAATGAAAAAAAAATAAACGCAATAAAATGCTGCTCGAGCCCGCGCAGATCTCTCGAATGCACACAAAGCAAAATGAATTTCTCACAAATGTGAAATCGTAGCATTATAATTTGTTAAACAAAATAAATGCAATATAACTATTTCCTTGATCCACTACCACCAACTTCAAATTAATTCATAAATTTAGAAAACAATTTTACCAACTTTAAACTTCGGCCCTTCTCAATCAAATTTAGGCTTGACAAAAATACTTTCCACCACCTAAAATACTCAATAGAAGTTTCTTGAACAGGATGCAGCTATCCTCAAGAGAGAAGAAACTTTGGATTCATTCCATAAATTTGGACATCAAGGTTACCTTCAATGATCGACTAACATCAATCTTCAATCCTTCTCATTCAAATTCAGGACTGGCATTACTAACATAAACTGCCGACATTAACAACGTCAACAACCGGAAATTATAACTATGAAATATATGATACAATCATAGTCATCATATTCCACCAAACATGCACGGTCAGTTGCTGACAAAAACAACAAAAAGCACAATTTTTTGGTATAAATATGGCAATTCTAACAAGTACTAAAACAAACTGTGGCAGGTGAGTGAAAGAGTAAAATCAACTTTTCTGTGATAAAAACTGCAATTTCTTTACATAAAAGCATTTGGACTGCTCTACAGCAATAGAAATAACTTTAACATGAGTTAAGAAAGAAAAATTATGTAAGCCATCTCTATAAGCTATCCTAAGGAGCAATGCCTTAACTTCTGAAAGGAGATAAATTGCTTGGAGATACAGCCTCTTGACAATGCCCTAAAATTTTGTTAAATTGAAACAAAAACCATTAGAATTCACACAACAAAACCATTGCGTAATTTCATAAATTTATAAAGGGTAAAACAGAGAAGGACAGGTACCCGAAAAGTAATGAACTTTCAACTGCTACTTTCAATTGGTCACACATCTTTACTATAGCTACCAAAAATACACGCACACTGAACTAGTCAAGCTTTCTAATCAGTTGACACCAGCACCACAGAATCATCTGGCAATTGAACAAAAAATATATGAATGTAAACATAAAAAAACCCCATTTCCTTGATAAATTTCAACAGTGGGAGATAAAGGGCAGATACCTGGAACCACGGAGGTCTCTGCTTTTACTGGAGAGGGATCCTTTTGTGGCGTGGTAGCAGGAGAAGATGATGTTGAGTACCTAAGCCTGTAGCTGACAAGTTTGGGCCCAAAAGCACTAAATTTTCCTGAACTACTGAAAGCCACTTCAGCATCAGCACCTCTTTTGAACAAGACTGAAGCACGTTTGCTCTTTCTCGAAACTTCAGTTTCTGCCTCTTTGAGAGGGCCAAACTTACTGAAAATTTTTATGAGATCTGACTTGGAAGGAAGACCATCAGGATCACTAAAGCTCAAAATTAGCGCAGCAGGATTGGACTCTTCCACATTTGTATCATTAGACAAGCTTACTACTCTTTCTTCTTGTTGCTGCCTATCACTAAGAATAGCAGAACCATCAGACACATGTTCAATAGTGTTCAGTGTAGGGGCTTCCAAGTTACTAGAAACAAATGATATCCCTGCAGCTTTTGCTTTCTTCAATTGATTAGTTTTAGAGGTAGCTTTCCTCTTTCTGCTCCAAGAAGGATCCTCTTTCTTTGGGTTCTCTTCAAATATGACATCAGACCAGTAAGAATCTTGTAAATAATCAGACTTTACCTCCACAGGGACTAGTTCAGACTCAGCTAATTTTTTCCTGCCCCTTTTGCTCTCCACTAGGTTCTGCAACTTATCATCATCATCACCAACATGAAAATCCCTCCAATTCAAAAAGAAACTGCTAGCAATAGGTTGAAATCGATGTGCTTTAGTTGGACCTCTTGCGGCAAAACAGAGCTGGGACAGCATCTCACTTGGTGCTGGATAGTCCAGCTTCAAAGCTGCTTCTGTTTTTGGAGACTTAGCATTACCCTTATAGAGTTTTAAGTCATCTTGCTCTGTGCTAGAAAATTTCATTTTATTTGCAACTCGGCTGATGCGTTGTCCAATTTTTAAAACCGTTGAAGAATCTGAAATGCTTCCAAGATCAACCAAGGACTTCAGTCTCTTTGTCTTGCCTTGTCCAAAGCCATCAGAATCGGGATAACTAATCTTGCGCTTTTTGCTGGAAGAAATTGAAGCAGCAGCATAAGCTGTTTGCTCCATCAGCTCATGCAAGCTTTTTTGTTTCCTGCCATCCTCTTCAATGGTCTTTCCGCTACCAGGTGGCCTGCCTCTGCCTCTTCTCTTTTCCTTAGCAGATGTGTCATTTAAAAGAATTCCATCATTGTTATATTCCATCTTCCTTCCATCCTCAACAATGGCCTTCTTTTTACCACGCGGCCTGCCACTTCTCTTTTCCTTTGAGGATATCTCATTTGAAACAACTTCATCCATATATTCCAACCTTCTGCCATCCTCTTCAATGGTCTTCTTTTTACCCCGTGGGCGGCCCCTGCCTCTTCTCTTTTCTGTTGAAGACATATCATTTGAAAGAAATCCATCTTTCTTATATTCCACATGAATACATGATCTTGTCCTCCTCCTTCCCCTTCATGAGCTGAAACATCTTCGTCATGTGATAACCATCCACCATTACAAAATTCTGGAAGTTCTGAATAACCCTTTGACATATAGATGGCCTTCAGCTGTGCATATACTTTAACAAGCTCCAATTTTTCAAGCTCTCCACAAGGAAACTGAGCTAATCCATAAATATAGTCAAGCAACCTGTTCGGGTCAAACGAATTGGCAACCAAACTTCTATCCAATGTAGGGCAGCATGTACCTTCTTTAATCCCAGCATTCACAACCGTTTTGTGCTTTAAATCAGCAATGAGCAGATCCGCAATACAACCACAGGTCATTCCAAACTCTACGCGTCTCTCCACCTCTCCCAATGCTTCATCAACAGCATCCACAAACTCAACCAGGCTGCTCTGCTTCTCCATCTGAGCGAAGAAAGATTCAAAAGGCTTCAATCTTGTCTTATCATTCCAAGCAAAAGTTTTGTCCCCAAAATATGCTACAAGAAAGTGATCTTTCTTCCAATGCTTCAGCGCCATATCTGACGCAAATGAAGGATCGTAGATCGATCCAGGCCACCATGGATGGCTCCTCACTTTACCCCACACCATATCACAAACAGAAAACTCAGATTTGCATGTTTCTTCCTCCTTTATTTCTAACAGCTTGCCATCAACATACTTCCCCAACTCAGACGTCGGAGACTCCTCCACCTCTCCAAAAAAGCCGTCTTTCTTGGAAACCTCATCAGAACCATTATCATTGAAAAATAATTCTTTACTCACCAGATTCGTATCCTCCGGCAGAACCTTTGCACCGCTTTCATCCGCATCGTCCAACTCAGGGCCATCAGCTTTCAAATTCAAATCGTTGTTGGAACCCGCAAAATCCGCATCCAGAATAACGCCCTCTCCACCTCCATCAAATTCTTCAACCTCCATAGCATTCTTATCTTCATCCGGATCCACTGCCCTCACATCGTCCTTAGCAGACGAATCCCAGTCAAATTTGCAGGCATCGCCGGAGCCATCGAGTTCTGTCTGGTGCACCACAGCGACGGAGTTGAGGTCGAGGCTCCGAGGCGAAACGTAGGAGGTAGTCGGCTCGCCGGACATTGGAAGGGCAAAGCAGAATCCTTAGCGTTGAGAAGAAACCCTAATTCGGGGAAATAGGAGACGAGAGAAGAAACCCTAATTTTCCGATCGATGAGAAGCACCAATTGAACGATCGGGGAGAAATAAGCTTTTCCCCTTTTGCCGCCACCTATGCTCGATAAATCTCACCCTATGAACTGCCAAAAAGAAAATAAATAAATAAATAAATTCCAAATTAAAAAATATTGAATTTATTTTTTAATTAATGCATATTTTTTATTAATTTTTTAAATATTATATCCATATTAAAATAGTTTCTAGGAGATTTTACATGCAAGTCCTATGTTTTGTATGTATTTACATATCTAATAACTAAATTTTAAGCATAACATTCAAGACTTTAATTTTTTCATATAAAAAAGATCATTATTATTTATTTTTAAAGATTTAAATATATTTTTTTCATTAGATTGAAGCATTAGAAATATAAATATGAATGTTTATGTATTAGACATGTAAATAGAAAAGAATTGTAGGATAAGTATGTAAATTTTTCTAGTTTTAATTATTTTAAGACTCTTTTCATTATATTTTGATGGGAATATTTGCATAATTTAGCTTGTAAATAAGATGTTCGTGTTGAGCTCAATTTTAAGCTTGTTTGTTCGAGTGAGTGAGTTTATTTGAATTAGCTTGTTTTATCATTTAACATACAAACTAGAATTTAAGCTTAATTAATTAAAAAATTAATTTAACAAAAAGTTGTGTACTTGTCACTCCTTTATACATGTAATTAACAAAGATAATTTGCACTGGTGCGGGACTAAAAAAGTTGGCCATTGGGCATGGAGCTGAATGGATATAAAAAATCTTACATATGGAGCACAATAAAATTTTGTCACGTGTATGACTGGGCTCACCTAAAAAATGACGAAAATGTCTTTATTGTGGTGTTTTACAAAACAACTCCAATAACACCGCAATAACACCAATGAACAACACCAATGACACCGCCAGAAGGACCATGCAAATAACATTGCGGTTCATCTTCAATAACCTCACAAAATAACTCCAATAACACCACAATAACATCGGTGATAAGCGCCAATAACACCGCCCGGAGGACCATATAAATGACAGTGTGGTTCCACTTCAATAACCCCACAAAACAACTCCAATAACACCAGTGAATAGCGTCAATAACACCGCCTAGAAGGGCCACGTCAACAGCACGAATCTCAAAGCAACCAAATGACAAGGACAAAAGATGATCATTGGAGGATCGAGCGACCGAATAGCAACACAACATGGATCTTAGAAAAGCAAACGATCAGAGGATAGACCGATCGATCATGCACAAAACTATTCTATCGGTCGACAACATAAGGATCTAGAAATCATTCGAGGAAAGCCCAGACGGTCGACATGACTTGAGATGATTGATCAAACATCAGAATCACCAACTATTTATTAACGATACATAATCTGAAGGCAGTCGATCGTTAGAGCTTAAGGATTGGCAGACTCAATACTAGTTAGACGACCATTTTTTCTATTTTGTATTTACTTCGTAATTTACCAATCGGACCACTTCACAAGCTAATGATTAGGAGGCAAATTTGTAATTACAACACTCGTATCCCTATGCATATAAATAGGGGTCATTTCATAATAGAAGGTTATGTGTTTTTCTGTTCTTTATTGTATCTTCTTCTTTCTTGTGCTACACACTATTTCTTGGGTGTGTTTCATGGATGTTTTTTGGATTCAACATCCTTTTATGTGTGGTGAGCATGGAACCATGTCGTCAACAATAATATGAGCACAACGACAGCAACAAGAAGAAATCATCCACAGAAACATAGTAGAAGCAGGATACACCAGAGTGTTTGTAGAAGAATTCGTACAATAGGGACTGCATATCCTGAGAACTCAGACAATCTGAATAACACCAAAGTCTGATGAATGATGCGAAGATAGCTTGTGACAAACAGTAATCTTTGGAATGTCACTAACAATCTGAAATAAAACGTCCCCAGATACTACTGGAGGTTACATTGATTTCTCAATTTTGTTTCTTTTGAAAGTACTTATGTTCCTCCTGAATGGATGTCCAATATTTAAAAACATATGGTGACATTCAAATAATGAATTCTTCTTGCCATGCTGAAGCGTGAATGTCTTAAATGAATTCATGCAATATGCACATATTGGATTTCCCATAGTGCTCCACCAAAATAACATTTTATATGCTGAAAAATTATTTATTGTTCACATTAATGCTTCTTTCGTTAGGAAATTGTGTTTCAAATCATAAGTCATAACACATCTTTCCCAAAGAATCTACGACTCAGCTATTAGTGGCTGCAAGTATATCAATTCGACTTTTAGGACTACTAGGACCTCAAATAATCAAGGTCGAGAATAAGAAGGCATTATCGGGTGGTGTGGGTTGGGTTGGGTTGGGTTGGGTTGGGGGGGTGTTGATTTTATGATGTAGCGATCACTACCAACTAAGAGTAGGGCATCGCGGTCTAAGTATATGGTGAGAAGCAATCCGAGTATAAGCTAAGTCTCACATTGTGTGCTTCTGCAACAAGCTTGGGATATAAATGATAAAAAAAATTTCATGCCTCTCCATCTGCAAGATGTCTCAATAATTGATATCCTATTACTAGCTATGTTGTCATGTCGTATGTGCATAATTACATGAGGAAGCAACTAAAGACATGGAATAAGCGATATATGGAAGAGATGCTGGTAAGGAACTTATTTCTGACTCTTTTTTTATTATTATTTTGAGTTTTAAATCTCGAAGAAGTACATAATATACACTGATTTTCTATGTACTTGACTTAATAAAGTAACATGAAATCGTTCACGCAACAATCAATCTTCTCCATTTTCAACCGTAACTTAGAGATCAGCATTTTCGTCCGGTATAAATCTTCTGGAACTAAGCTCTCTTGTGGATTAGTCTTTTCTAGCAATATTTCAAACTAATTGAAACACACTCAGGGCATATTAAACTTTGTTTTAATTTTTAGCATTCTAAGGGCTACACATAACTCAGAATGAGAAGTGCATCCCTCCCACAATGGCCTTTGAGTAGTATTCAGTAAATAAGAAGTTTGAGCCTCCCGATAGAAAGCAGAACGTTAACAGCTTACTGTTGTTAAGGCTATTGAAGATTGATAATCTGTCATATTTTTTTGAATTTTTGGATATAATGTTATCTTTCACCATAACTACACTAAACCTTACATGAGTTTATTTCTTTCATATTTATTTTTCAAGTGGAAAGTCAATCATTAACTTATGCATTCTCATCTCCACAAACCCCACACATGATTAACTGCACACCACAAAATATGTTTTTAGAATGAAATATTTCACATGTTGTAAGAGTTTTCACTACATCATCCAGTATGAGGTCTATATTCCATTGTCAAAATAAAATTTCATTTCAAAATCTAATTTATCAGTTACAAAATGAAAATTCAATTCAAAATTTAATTTGCATTGTCATAATAGGAATTGAGCCAATAAAAATTAGATTTCAAAGCGAATTTTTATTTTGAAACTAATAAATTAGATTTCAAAATGAATTTTCTGGAAATAGAAATTAGACTTCATAAATGAGAAAACGATGTATGCACTTACATTATATGAATTTTTTTTTATATGAAAATATTTTGAGATGTGCAATTAATTGCGTGTGAGGCCGCAACAACGAGAAAGATTAGTTTCATGATTGGTTTTACATATAGAAACAAATTACGAAGTTAATATATTCTTGAGAGAGTTGAAATGGCTACAGTTGCATACAATATTAGAAAAAGACTACGGAAAGTCTAAGTAAACCGTAAGAATTATATTTCTTTAATATGAAACAACGATTATCACTCGAAAATTGACTAATTTATTTTAAATTTATAAAAGACCGATAAAAATAAACGACCCATGCTTCAAGTCAAAAAAATTGTATCAAATTTTTTTAAAGTCGACCACAGTTAAGCTCGAAATCAAAACATTAACAACCTACTGAGGCTTTTAGGGCTATCAAAGATTGATAATCGGCAAACATTTATCCATATTTTACCTCTAATTTTATCTGTCACTATAGCTACATCAACTCTTTCAAGAGTATATTTCTTTCATATTTTTACTACAATTGTAAAGCGACTGATCCACCTAAGTATTCTCATGTCAATAACATTTTTTTACTAGATTATTTTCACACCTCTAAACAAATTCTGAGAAGTAAGAGTCTTTCATAAGATGTAAGTGATTTTATTTCTTCCTCCAATGGGAAATGTAATTTTCATTACCAAAAAAAAATAAAAATCACTTTGAATATTATGTTCATGATATTGAAGAACATAATATTCAAAGTTTATTTTCATTTGGCAATGAAAAATAGACTTTCGAATGGAATAAAAAATGAAAATTTGCATATCTAATGAAACACTTCATTCTCGGATTTTATTTAGAAGTGTGTAAGTAATCTAGTTAAAAGTTGGAGAGACGAAGATGCTTAGATTTATGATTGTTTTTTCACTTGGCGATAAAGTATGAAACAAATATATCAGTGAGAAGATTGGTGTAGCTACAGTAGCATACACTATTAGAGGGAGACAACTTCATGGATTGCAAATGAATGTTCAATTGATTAATGATCACCGACAGAACTAACATTACTAAGATGTTAAACGATCCGACTTTGAGCTGAGATGATGTAGGCTCCAAATAAATTCGATCCAAAATTTTGGCTCGTAGATCAGCGTTTATTTCAATCTCAGTTTCATGAATGAGTCAAACTTAGAATTAATTTTTTAGTGCTCATCGTTCTTCGAGATAATTTCACAGCCCTACACTACTCACCACCAAAAACCAAAAACATCAACTTGCATACAAACTGGTTTTCCGGATTTAATAATTTTGTATTTGCAATATTTATTAAATCCTATTCAAACTAAATCCTGCCAGCAACTAAACAACCCTTAATCTAACACTTAAGGGCTATTTAGGAGCAAGTTTTAAACATGATTTATGCAATATTTAAGTTAAATCCTCTCAAATAAAGAAAAAAAATAGAAGTTTTGTGGGTCGAAGATTGGAAGAGCTATTGTGGGTGTAGGGGGGAAATGTTGGACTTTTCTAGAGCATTGAAGAGAAT